TCCATAATAAATTATCTCTATATAATTAACATGTTTTATTCTTAATCCATATTTTGTTTTAACTGTTCATGATTGGCATATATGTATTCGTTAAATGAAAGGGGCCCTGGAAAAGAAGGATTAAGTGGTTTCAGGTTCAACCTTAAGGACTGTTTTACCTTGATGGGATTGCCCTTGTTTTGAGTGGAATCGAGGATCTGTAACTTCTCATTCATTCACTTAATTATTCCCTCCGTGTGAATTTTTCAAGGCTCTCTTCTAGGTACTGGGGCTACTGCAGTGATCAAAACAGACATGGTCCCTTCCCATATGTAGTTTATTATATTCTTGCTGGGAGTACAGAGAATAAACAATAACTGAATAAGTAAACATATAGTGTGTCTTTGTATATTGTGAAGGTAGATCCCACTTGGCTAACAGATTAGTTGTATATGAGAGTCAAAGATATGGGCAGAGAGTCAAAGATATGGGCCTAAGCAACTGGAAGCATGTTACTTCCTTACTATGAGGAAGACTGCAGGAGGTGGGGGCTTGGAGGCGCTCACGTGGGTCAAGAATATAGTTTTAACATATTAAATCTGATGTACCTGATAGGCATTTACATCGATATATTCAGTGGAGAATTCAGCAGGAAAGTCTGAGTTGAAGATGGAAACTTGGCAGTTGTCACTAGACAATGGATTTAAAAGAGGAAAGGTCCATGTGTGAGCCCTGGAGTACTCCAAAATTGAGAGATTGGAGAGATACAGAATAAGCAAAGGAGACGAGAAGAGTAGACAGTGAACGTAAGAACCAGGATTGCTGGTGCCAAGTTAAAAAATGTTTCAAGAAAAAGGGAACGATCAATTCTGTTAAGTATTGCTGATAGTACAACTAATATGAAAACTGAGCATTGATTGAGCAACACTGAGGACATTGGTGACTTCTGACAAGTCATTTTCACAGGAAGTGGAGACAAGCCTGTATGGTGTTGGGAAATGCCCCGTCTGGTTTCAGGAACTGTAGTGCCGCCAACAGGCGAGAGGGCCCCAAGGCTGGAGCTAATCAAGGAGGCCTTGGGAAAACAGGCCACTGAAGAGACAAAACCTGTCCCCCTGGCAGGGGTGCAGCCCCTGCCTCCCTTATATCACCCTGCTTGACACTGAAGGATGGCTGGTTAGTCAATGACAGGTAAGACCTCTTGATGGCAGTGGCAACCTAAGACAGGCACAGCCTCATGGGCATCAGGGAAGAACTTGTGGGACATGGAAAAAGGGCAAAAAGACACCCTCAACCCATGGCTTTGATATGGCCAGGGTCCTCATTCTCTCTGAAAGGAGTCTCCTTATCTCTTGGCGGCTCTGATCCCCTGGCTGGCTCAGGTTTGAAACAATATTGGAGACAGCCCTAAACTGGATCTGGAGGTTCCCAGGGGAAATCAGGCCTAGAAGTAATTTCTTTGAAGCATGCTTTGTTGTCCCTTCAAAAGCTATTGACAACCAGCTCATGCTGGGAAGGTATGCATGCTCATACATTAATTGCAGATCCTGACCCTAAACCATTTGGCTCTTTTATGTTTGCTCTCATGTTTACTCGTCTCCTCTCAGACCTGTGTAAGTTGGTGTGTTCCTGCCATTTGTTTTCGTCAAAACATCATCTATTCTCTGTAAACATTAACAGACTGCTGTAATGAGATCACCTGTATATTCCTACTACCTAGCCCCACTGATAACACTTTCAATAAAAGCCATTGGACACAGGCTCGGAGCCTTCTCCACTAGAGGGAAGTGCCACCCATTTCCCCGGCAGACAGAGAAGTATCTGGGATGACTTATTTTATTTCACCCATCCGTGACGACCCTGGGACAGGTTCTGTGGGAGCAGAGCCCGGCTCCACCTCTGTATGGGGTGGGTTCAGGAGAGAACCTAAAGGAGAGAAATGATACAGGTATGTAGACAGTTGACAGTGAGTTCTAGAGGGCATAGTTGCAGTGTTTCAGGCTTTGAGGAATGATGGGAAATGGGACCAGATCAGGCAATAGGGAGAGCATTCTGGGCGCAAGAGACCAGGTGGTGAAGGGGGATTTGCCTCCTTGAGCTTCTTGTGGTAACTGATGTGAAGTGGAATAAAGGACATGATGCATTTAGCCCCGGTAGACAGCAAAGTAGATTATGATGCAAAGCCAATGAATGTGGAGGGACAGAAAATTGGGTGTCTGGCCAATATCACCTACAGTTATAGGTTGTAGCCTTGACCTTAGCCAGTAAAATGACTTCTTACAGGACATTTTGCTAAGGAATAGTTTAGGAAAGTAAGGTGCGCCAGTTTACCTGAGCTGTCATATATTTGTAACTCCAGATCAAATTTTTAGGTTTTTTAGCCATAAATTTCATTAATTTCAGTTTAATAATGGTCAGGCATATACCATGTATCTCAATCAGTGAGCTGTTGCAGGACAGTGTTGCTATGAATCAGCGTCGTGTCACATGAATTTTGTTGGAGGTCTGTCAATGGGATGTGTGGTGTGAGTGTATCGCTGTTATATTTGTACAGAAGATAACAAGCACTAATGTTACATGCTCTTTAGCAAATAGATGCAAAGGATTGACAGTAATTTTAGGTTATTCCTTGATAATGTGGACCTAATTTTTTTTTTTACAGGCCTTTTTATTTGACCTGGCAGTTACTTGTAATCTGTTATTATCAAGGTCACCTCATGGAAGAGCTCTGACCACTTATTGAACCATGTATAGGTATTACCTCTTAATTTTCCACAGGGTGTAAGTATCCGTGGAGGCTTAGGTGGAAGAATAAGATTTGTTACCTAGTTCTGGTTTGTAGTGGTAACTGTAGGCTTACCATCTATGACGTATGGCCAGTTATTTAACATACTGGAAGTCCAAGTCTAGCTTGATAGGTATAAATCATAATTACCTAATAAGAGGGAAAGTTGTGTATAATTCATATTGGTTGACAACACAAAAAATCATTATCTTTTGGCTTCAGAATACCTTTTAGTATTTGTGAAGACTGAAATAATGTATGTGAAAATTAATACTTGTGAAGAACCATTGGTATAATTGTCCATTTCAGTGTTTTTACAAAAAAATTGACCACAATTTATAACTTATGGTAAGGATTTATTCTACTTCTAACCCAGTGCATAGACTTGCACATTTATGTGAGTGCACACATATATGTTAACAGTTATAATATGTAATACATGATATATTAATACTTAACCTTTACATCATACAGTATATTAGAATGTTTCTATTCTAATTAATTAAAAATATTGTCCATGAGCTAAATTGATTTCATAGCCCATTAATGCGTCATGATTGGCTAGTTGAATAACCCTGGCCTTGTTGATCTCCAAGATGCCCCATGGCCATAGGACGTTTTACTGCAACAGGATACACAAAAATAACTTTCTTCCTGATTCTCATGAGCATGATGGTAAAAGTATTAAATATTTACTTAAAGCCCACTGATCCTAAGAAAGTGACCTTCGCCATCAGATAATTTAAGAAATGCTGATGATAGAATCATTTATTCATACAACTAATCTTTATTAAGTGGCGATTGTGTGTCAGATTCTGAACTAACCCCTGGGCATCCTAAGGTGAAAAACCAGAGGCTGTCTTTCGCTCCAGCGAACTTCCAGTGTAGTAGAAGTGAGTACATATTTATAAGTTGTTATAGTTATAATAGAGAATGATGGGAGATGGTTGCTTGCTCACAGTTTTTAAACCACCTCATTTATATGTAGTTGAAAGGATGAAAGTGGGAGGTAGAAGGCGAGGTTTTTGGTTAGATCCTATTTCACAGGTATGGTGCTCTCTTCTCTACATCCCCTCTTAGGCAGGAGGTGTAATGTACAATTTGCTAAAATCTTATTATGAAAGATAATTTTCTTTTGGTCATTTTTTTCACTTTGTATTACAGATCATTTTCTTTTGGGATTTTGTTTTTTAACTTTGTATTATGGATAATATTCTTTTCAGCTTCCAGTTTCTGTTTAGTATTTTCAAATAAAATTCTCATCTTAGATAGTTTACTATACTTAACTTATATTTATAATTATATATAGTGTATATATTCTAATACCAATAATTTTCTATTTATAATTTTTCAACAATGATGTCCATATTTCCACTCCAATCATGAAGAAAAATTGAGGTTGTTACAAATTGTTACTATAGAGGAGGGTTTCTTATGAATGAATGTTTCTCTAAGCTGCTGTCTCTTTCTGTATATGAAATGGAATCGTAAAATTTTCATATCTTCCAATTTAATTCTGATAGCGGATGGTATTGCCATGGGTGGATGTATGTGAGAAACTCTTGAGATAAGTGAGATACTAAAGAAGACTTGACATGTGGGAGGAGGGGACGTGGTAGCCCTGTTCCGACTTTCAGTGAATTAGGAATGGTACAGTTTTTTAAAGCTTTGGAAACTAGCTTGAGATCAGCAGGTAGAAAATGCAATGGGTCAAAATTTGATGGATAAGGGAGAAAACTTTCTACCCCTTTTTTAAATTGAATAATATTGGATGTGTTAAAGAGGTTGTTTAAAGGTTGTGCCCTACTTTTACCACTACTGGTACCTTCTTTTTAGTTAAATCTGTAGTCTGTTCCTCAGGTTCTAGAAGGACCTGGTCTGTTTTCTTTCCTTACCCCAATATTGTCCACTTGATTGCATGCTCTCCTACAATAAAATAATTAAAATTATTATCACAATGGAGTAAAATATTGATATCCAGAGGTGAAACTCATAATTCTGACTTTTGGAGAGGATGTATATCTTTTAAAAATGATGGTTCTAGTTTTAGATATTTTGATATGCCTTTCTAGAAATAGGATTTTTAAACCTAGCTTTGGCTGTGACTCTGCTGATTATCCAGCAAAGAAACAATATTTCAGACTTCATTGTTTAAAGAAAAAAAATTGTAAATTCAGTGTAACTACAAAAATAGTTGAAGATTTGGAAATTAACTACTATTAAGAAAGTAGTATCCAGCTTTGCGCAGTGGCAGTATCGTAGCCAATGAGGTTTATCTGAGGTGCGATTATTGCTAATTGAAAACTTTTCCCAATACCCCGCCATGACGGCTTGAAATATAGTCGTCGGCACTGGCGTTTTTTAACAGTCTCTGTGGAGACCGCGAAGGAAGGGAGGGAGGGAGGGAGGGAGGGAGGGAGGAAGGAAGGAAGGAAGGAAGGAAGGAAGGAAGGAAGGAAGGAAGGAAGGAAGGAAGGAAGGAAGGAAGGAAGGAAGGAAGGGAGGGAGGGAGAGAGAGAGAGAGAAAGAGAAAGAGAAAGAGAAAGAGAAGGAAGGAAGTATCTTAGCTATTGTGGGGATTGCTTGAGGGAGTCGGGGGATGGTGCTGTATGGAGGGGGACAAAGTAGGAAAAATTGGGACAACTATAATAGCATAATCAATAAAATACAATTAAAAAAGACAAAGTACTGTTATTCCTTTTGAATTAAGCATGACAGCAGGAGAAGAAGCCTTTTCTCCAATAAAAATCAAGACATGATCATATACTTTGAGTTAGTGGGCCTACTTCTCAAAATGTATCCTACATAAATAAACCCAAAAAGAAGGGAATTTTTTTTGTAGCAGTATTTACATTAGTGAACATACATATCCATATATACACATGCACACAGACATATATACATATATATTTCCTTATCCTAAAATATAACATTTTAGGTGTCTTCCCTGAATCTTATACTAAGCAATTATTAGAAGTAGTATATTTGTTATAGCAACATGGGTCCTATAAAAATATTTAACACAATGAAGTTTATATACCACTTATGTATAGCCATTTTTTAAATTCTCAAAAAATGCCCTTGTCTTTTGAAAACATTTAGAAAAATGTTTTCCCTTTTGACTTCTTTGCTGCCTTTTACATCAATTGCTCCTTACTTAGAATTCTAGCTTTATTGTTATAAAACATTGTCCTTTGAAGTGCAGCTTTCTTGTATCCTAATTTATTTAATATCCTAGCTTAAAGGTGAGAAAACATTCTTTTGTGTATAAGTTTTTGTTTGTTGGATTTAAAAAGTAGCTAATACAATAAAAACTTGCAATTGGGTCAGAGGTTCATTACTCTTAACACTTTTGGGCAGGAGGCCTAGGAATTTGTCATCTGTGTTTCCAGATGGGAAACTCTTACCTTTTGATATTTGATCTTCATTAATACTAAAATACCAGAAAATTTTGTTAGAAGCAGATGTTGAGAATATGTAGATGTAATCCAAATGTGTATATGGCAACTCTGGAGGAAGTAATTCAATTAAAACAACAACAAAATCAAGAATATTTAAGACCCTTTATGATTTGATGTTAGAATTTTTTGTATCTTCTCGTATTCTAGTATTTATTTTAGACATTTGTAATTTAACTACTGAAGAGGAGCCTATCCAATTTTTAAAGTATTGCTGGATAAGAGGCCAGCTCAGTGGCTTTGTAAGTTTTTTTTTCCTTAACGTTTCACATGGTAACACTGTGTATTTAAGTAATTAGTGAATTGGAGAGATTGAGTCAGTTTCCAGCAGATCTGATTAGATTACAAAGCCAGGCTAAACAATTCTTTTTTGCACATAAAAAACAGTGTTTGAGCAGTATCTAAATTATGTAGGTAATTCTTTCTGTTACAGTCTCTTAACCTTTGTTGAAAATAGTGGAAACGCGAAATAAGAAACTTACGCTACTTTATAAAAAATGAGCAGAAAGTGGAGTGATGAATAGGCAGAACACAGGATTTTTAGGGCAGTGAAAAACTGCACGATATTATGATGGATATATATGACTATACGTTTGCCCAAACCCTTAGAATGAACACCAAAGATAAACCCCAAAGTAAACTGTGGACTTTGAGTGATGATTATGTGCTATTGCAGGTTTATCCTTGGTAAAACTTGTTTATTCTGGTGAGTGGTATTGGTAGTGGGGAGGGCATGGCTGTGTGAGGGCTGGGGGTATGTGGGAAATCTCTGTACTTTCTTCTCAGTTTTGTTGTAAACCTAAAACTGTTCTGAAAACAATAGCCTAAGGTCAATAAAAGACTAGAATCAACTAACAAGGGAGGATGTACACTATAGAGTCCTTTTCTTTTTCTTTTCCACTGGAGCACAGTCATCTCTTTTCTTCCCCCTCCTTCCCAGTTCCCTTCCAGTGGTTTACCATAGCACTTGCTCTAAAAGTAGTGATCACCTTTACAACAAACCATCCAAATGATTCTGATACACTCTACAGTTTTTGAACATAAGTTGAAAAAGGCTCTGTTTGATCCATTGTAAGATGTGCTTCATAAAACATTTGATTCATCAAAATATTAAAAACTTTAATTGAAGATCTTTTAGTAGGGTATATCTTAAATTAACCTTTTCACACATAATAAAATGTGTCTCATAATTCGATAAGGACCCAGTTTTAAGGGGCCAAGTAGTGTAATGTAAAGGGCACTGAATTTAGGAGGTCAGGCCGGGTGGTTTTGCAGGAAGTACTTTGCAGACTTTGTAATTCACAGTGGTGGTGGGAAGACAAAGATAATGCAGTAAGGCTCTTGTAAGGACAGGAGCTTGCTTTTGGGATTGCCGCTTTCTCAAGTATAAAACCTGGATGGTAGAGCCAAGTGATACCCAAGGTCTTCTTAAGCACTAACATTGTATGGTATTTTGGGTATTGTACAGTAGAAATCATTAAGCGTATGCTAAATTGTAGTTGTTCGCCACCTCTCTTTCTTGTTTTCCCCTTTGGTTTTCAAAGCCTGGTTGATTATTGTTTCTTCTTTTAAAATAACTTGATTGAGGTATAGTCAACATCCCCCAAAATGCACATGTTTAAAATATAACATTTGGTGACCCTCCCCCTTCTTTGTTTCAATGTCACTGGTTCTATTTTGCTTGCTTATTTGTTGATTAGCTTCCACGTATAGGTGAGATCATATGGTGTTTGTCTTTCACTGTCTGGCTTGTCTCACTTAGCATAATGCTCTCCAGTTCCAGCCATTATGTCATGTATAAAGGACCCATGGACAAAGCCAAAGAGGGGAAGGATGGAGGGTGGGAGGTGGGTAGGGTAGAGGAAAGTGGTGGCAAGAAAATGGAGACAACTGTACTTGAACAACAATTTAAAAGAGAGAAAAAAATAAATAGATGAAAAGTAAAATAAAATAAAATAAAATTTCCCCAAGTTTAATAAATTAAAAAGATTAAGTATAACATTTGGTAAGTTTGAACATAATGTATACTCACCACAGCAAAGAAGATAATGAACGTAACACCACATCCAAAAGTTTCTTTGAGTCCCTCTGTAATTTCCCTGTTCTCACCCCAGACAACTACTGAGATGCTTTCTGCCTTTGAAGATTAGTTGCATTTTCTAGAATTTTACATAAATGGAATTATAGAGTATGTTGTACTCTCTTTTGTATGGCTTTTTGAAGTGCACATATCAATTCTTCGTTCTTTCTGTTTTGCTGAGTAGAAATCTATTTTATGTTATAGGACAATTTGTTTATCCATTCACCTGATGAAGCTATAGGGATTGTCTCCACTTTTAGGTATTACAAATAGGGTTGCTATGAAATGTGTGTATATAAGTTTTTGTATCAATATACACTTTTTTGGGGGGGTAAACACATAGGAATGGGTTGATTGGATCAGATGGTAGGTGTATGTTTAAATTTTAAAGAAATTTCTCAACTGTTCCGAAGTGTGTGTACCATTTTATATTCCCATTAACAGTGTATGAGAATTTCAATTTCTTCAGTTTTGCATCAACACTTGACATGGGCAGTCTTTTTAATTTTATTCATTCTAATAGGTATATAGTAGAATGTTGTGGTTTTAATTTGAATTTCCCTAATGATACTGAGCATCTTTTAATGAGCCTTTTGTTTTGTTATATTTGTTCTACCCATATATCTTATTGTGTGAATGCCTGATGAAATATTTTTCAATTTTTAAAATTAAGTTGTTTGTTTTCCTATTGTTGAGTTAAAAAAGTTCTTTGTATACTCTGGATAGAAGCCCTTTGTCAGATATGTGCTTTCTCAAACACTTTCTTCCAGTCTGTAGCTTGTCCTTTTATTCTCTTAACAGTGTCTTTTGGATAGAAGAAGGTTTTTTAATTTTGAAGTCCGGTTTATTATTTTTTCTTATATGAATCATCTAGGGAAGTTTTTGACCACTTGGTACAGCTGCAGAAATGGTTTCATGTCATTATCTACCATTTATAAGCACCATGGTTCAAATTTTCCTGCATTTTTTATAATCCTTGCTTGGATACCAGCCATTATGGGGTGCTAGATAGATACTGTTGTACTTTTATAAATATTTTTGAGCTTTCCCCCCCTAGAATGCAGTTAAGTTATGTGGAAACAGTATGATTTTTTTTCAATTGCTTTAGTATATTTGCTGGGCAGGGCCAAGAGCTGCGTTTCATCCATGACTCACTATTCTTTACTCATGGGCACTCTGTACAATGCCCCACAAGTGACGATGTTTTCCAGTCTGGCTGGAACAGCTGAATGTAGCTTTGGGGAAAAAATGTTCTTTGACTTGTAGCTCCTGATATATACAAATATTAATTTGTGATGCATCATACGAGGTCATAGGAAAATATTTTCATGGCCTGAAGATAGGAAATGATTTATTAGACAAGGCATAGAAAGCACTAAGCATCAAAGGAAAATTGATAATTGGATTTGATAAAAATTAAAATCTTATCAAAAGGCACTGTTAAAAATGAATAGGAATACTAGAGACGAGGAAGAAATATTTGCCATACATGTCTCTACAAAGACTCCTATATAAACAATGTGAAGAACCTTGATCGGTGCTTTAAGATTTTCTCCTTGTCACTGGTTTTCAATAATGTATTGATGTACTCTGATTGGTTTTCATTGTGCACATCCCACTTGGGCTTCTTCTGTCTGTGAGTTTATTATTTTTATAAAAATCTATTTCCTCAAATGCTTTTTTTGACCTTTCCTCCTTCCCTTTTTGATGCTGATTTCACATTTCAGATGTTTAACAGTGTCTCACAGGTTACTTAGGCTCTATTCATTTTTTTGCTGTCCTTTCTTTTTCTCTCTTTCATTTTTGTTAGTTTTTGTTGCTATGTTTTTTAATGTAATAATT